ACGACACTCTTATACATGAGAGATGCATACAAATAGACAGATCTTCATTAGGGGAAAAAATGTATAAGTATAGAGTACTTTGAGCACTAAGAAGAGAATTTTTCTTTTTAACTGGCAAGCTGTTGAGACTGTAAACTGCATTTTTATAATCTTTATGAAAAGATTCACTACCAACTTATAGAATCTAAAACTCCATTGTTTAATATACTTAATACATGTAAACATTGATTTATGTTTATATAAACTGTACTATATTAAAGAATGTAACTTCTGTAAATCTGGCAGTTTTATGTGTTTGCTTTTTTTAATGTTAAGTTTGTTACTAAGATAACAAGTTCTTGCTTGGATAATCTTGTAAATGAAAACTTCTAAAAGATGCTTATTTTTCTGGAATGTTATCCTAAATTCTTTTGATGTAACATTCAACCTGTAAAACCTAATCACTACTTTCTTCTCTGAAGTTAAATAATTGTAAACAAATTTGATTGCAGGGGCCTCAGTTTCTCAGCAGGGGCAGCTCTGATTTACCAAGCCATTCAACACCTGGAACAGTTCTTCTACTGGATGGCATTTTGCAGATGTTGCTTTTTCACCGTCATTACATCCCTTTACTACCATGGCATAGTCTCCTAAAAAGGATCTATACCTCAGTTGATTAACTCTGGCACTGGTGGAGCATTACCTGTGCTCTAACATGTAACCCTCCTGCTTCAACTTTCTCAGCAGTTTCTTGTTTACTGGGGAAACCTGTGCTGCTGCATTTCCAGTGCCATTTGGGTATAGCCAAAATGCCAGTTTGTTATTCTGGTTTGACCAAACTATTTCCTGAGGAAGAGTCTAGGAGGATCTCTGTTTATGTGCTGGTCGTTTCAGTTTGGACTTGTAAGCATGTGTGTGTAGACTGTTCAGTGGTCAGCAGGTACACTGACCCACTTTGCATGCATGTGTATGTCACAAAACTGTAGTTAGCAAAAAACACAGAAGTAATGGGTATGAGGAAGTCAGCCCTGCATTTTAGCCCTAATAAAGTAATGGTTGGAACAATTGCCCAGGAAATGGGAGACCTGGATTTTAGGATCTTTCTCTCCAAAAGAGGTTAGGATCTCTTACCCTGACTTCCTGGCAATGTGGTCTAACTATCAGGCCATAGATTAGGTATTGACCAGTCCCCTTTGTGTGCATGTGTGTGGTTGCTGCACATGGAGAGGCAAGATACCCAAATTCCAGTCTCGGGGTCTTGCTTTCAATGGGGCAGAAACTTCCTTACAACACTGATATGTATCCGTTATAGCCAATAACTACTAAAAAAGGGAATGCTAGAGCAGGGATTAAATGACAATGCCTGAAAATATAACATGAAAGTTGGGAAGATGGAGAGAGAGAGAGAGAGCTTTAAACCCCTTCTGGGCAAGGGAGGCTTACAACCTCCTATTTTCTAGACCGTAACTACTCAATTCGTGGATTGGAAAGATAAGAGGGTTCTTCCCACACTACTTCTGGACTTAAACTCAGGTAGATGTGTACACAGCCATATAGATGCCTGGTCAGCATGTAGTCTATGGCACAATCTCACTCTACGTATGTATTCCTACACATCCACAGGTTAGGGAAGTGGTCAACATCTACAAAACTACTTTTTAGGCTTACAAAAGTAAATCATTCTCTCCATCTGTGTTTTACTCAGGGTTCTAGATTCCATTCTAGAGGCTAGATGCCTAGAAGGTAGGTACCAACAGTGCCTGACTTCTAGGTATCTAGCCTCTAGAGTAGAATCCATAACCCTGCGTAAAACACTCAGATTATGGAGATTGGAAAAGGCATGGGGCCATAGAGAGTTTATAAGAGGAATAGTCCTGGTGAATCCTATAGGTTTGTATATGTATAGTCTTTTGGAGGCTTTTAAAGTACATTTCAAAATCATTCTAAAGTTGACCACAATGCTGGTAAACCTTTGGCCTCTCAAATTAAAGTCTCATTTTTAAGCATCAATTTAAATGGCTCGGTGTAACAATTATGTGGCATCTACCCAGAACCAAGAACACTACATTTTTCTATAAAGAAAATCAATTTGTCCTTAACAAGTTGGCCTAAATATTTAGAGTCTGAAGTGGGTGGTAGATTTGAATGAAGGGAAGAAAGTTAAAAAGTCCTTGGCAATAATATTGACATCTGCAGTGACTGGGGTTCAAGTGGTTGAAAAGCCTTGCTTCATAGGTTTAGTGAGTTCTTGGAGCCCTCTGCTGGATGAAACACTAATTTCATGAGCTACTTCCAAAGAGATTCCTGAATCCCTGCTGCTCCTTTCTCCCAAGAGCACCATTGTCAATTCTGCTACTGCCTTTCCTTGCTAGGGTTTTTAAAAATTTTATCCAGGTCCCCTGGCTCTTTTGTTTACTTTACTGGAGTTTATTGGGTCCTGAAAAACTGTAGTACTGGAAGTAATTTAGAGCTGAAAACAAGTGATGCAGTGGGAACATCTACATGATTTAGGGCTGGAAGGGACCTCGTGAGATCATTGGGCTGGCCCCCCTGCTCT